AAGGATGTGCCTGCTTTACAGCTACAAGATTATTCTTATTGAAGTTTATGTGGATACTAAAAATATATATAAATTATAAAATACATATATAAATTACATATATAATACAGACAGCAAGATAACAGTAAAAGTAATGATTTAAATCACAGAGATCTACAGTTCCATACACGATCAAGGGGTCATTGTCAAATTAGGCAGCATCTGATTTCTTGCCATTTAGGTTGGTCTCTTAACTAACGTGCTAACAACAGTTTCACTTTTATTTTTAGATGTATGCAGTGTATCATGCTCTTGGGTTTCACTGTTCATATGCAATTACAGTGATTGTGACAGAAACTGGGCAAGCCCGGCTGCAGGATTGAAGCTGCTGTTCAAGCACACAGCTTGTGAACTGGCAGTGCAGATGTTCTAGGGCAGTCAGTACAATTTCATTCTGAACTGCCAAGAGAGTGAGACCTTGCTCTCCTTCCCCCCCTTCCCCCCCCGAAAATACCCCAGGAAAGTTATGTATTTAAAATACAGTGGCTTTTGCTGAAATTGGTCCATGTTTTGTAGTCTGAGAAGGTAAATCACAATGAAGAGCCTTCTCACACTTCAGCATCTAAGCTAGCTCAGGAGCCACCACCAACCCTCAGTGTCCTTTGAGAGTCACAGTAGTTTTGTCACTAAAGCCTGCATGTAACTGATAACATTCCAGAGGGAAGGGAGCATCACTTCTGACAGCTCTTGTGAATCAGCTCTGAGTAACAGGACTTTGGCAGTTGCAGGAGACAGCTCACACTGAGCAGAAGCATCCTCAGTTCTCCCCATTTTCAACACAGTGCAGAATCAGAGCCCCGGGCAAGAGATGGAGCGACCGAGGGCACTCATCAACACAGCACTGAGCTCCTTCAGAAACTGCCTGTATCTGTTAAAAAGCCCAGGGGCACAGAAGGCAGGTGCTGGAGGAGCTGGGGAAAAGCCAGTGCTGCATCTGGGGCCCAAGAACCTCTTCCTCCTGATGGACTGCCAAGAGCCCAGCTTCCTCTCTCCTTTTGGAGCAGAGCAAGATGGGGAAGGTTTGTAGCACCTGTACTGAGGCAGAGGGTGTCAGAAGCACTGTGCTATGGTCTGAGGCAGACAGGAGTTCAGGGTTAGGAAAACAGTACATAGAAACAGTGCCTCTGACCAGCATATGCAGTACAGATTTCTTTCTTTAAGTAGTATTTGTTTCTTTCTGTTGTGCCACTTAACACACTGCAGGACAAATAACAAAATTTCACCCTAGTTTTCCTTAATTTTTGAAATAACACTTGATTAGGCAAACCAAAAGCTCCTAATTCTAGGAAAAAAGCAACCAAACCAAAACCCCACAACCATCCCCCCCCCCAAAAAAAAAAAACCCCAAACCCCACACAAAACCCCCCCACCAACCATGGCAAATCAAAACAAACAAAAAACCCTAAAACTAAAACAAAACCAAAAAAATCCCCCACCACAAAAGTAAAAATTCTAAACAGGAAGTCAGTCAAAACCGAGAGCAGTGCTTCCTGCATGTCTGTACCTATTTATCTACATCCACACACTCCAAACGTGCTCAGGAACAGTCTTTGTCACCGAAATGAAGTCGTCTGCAATGATACTCTGCCAGAACTTTTCCCAGGCCAAATTTGGCTCTTGTCAAGTACCGTTCCCACAAGCCCTTCCCAGCCGCTGGCAGGTGGGAAGAACCATTCCTATCGGTTTGCACAGTCCTGTGTCGGGAGCTGAGGGAGTTCCCTGCCAGCTGGGCTCTGCGGAGTGCCGAATTTACTGGGCTGGATGCCGCCTTCCTACCCACAACAAGTCTTTCTGCTACTTTGCACTCACTTCTTAGAACAAGACTTCAGGTTGCAGTTTGACCCGTGGGATTTCCCCCGCCAGGGCGGGTCCGTCCCGCGGGAAGCGCAGCGCCCTCAGCCAGCGCTGCCCAAAGGGGCCGGTGCAGCTGAAGGAGCCTCACGGGCAGTGACTGCCCACGGCAGCTCAGAGCGGCCGAGAGGCTGCGCTTTGGCCATAAAGGGTTATGGGGAGGGGAATGGCTTTCCTGAACTTCACTTCTGTGGAGCAGAGTTAGGAGAGCGGGAGCCCATTAAGTGGCTGCGGAAAGGAACCTGGGTGTCCTGGTTGAATACGAGTCAGCAGTGCCCTGGCAGTCCAGGAGGGCCAACCGTGTCCTGGGGGCATCAGGCAAAGCATCGCCAGCCGGGGAGGGAGGGGATTGTCCCGCTCTGCTCTGCACTGGGGAGGCCTCACCTTGAATATCGTGTGCAGTTTTGGGCACCACAGTATAAGAAAGATATTAAGCTATTAGAGACTATCCAGAGGAGGTCAACGAAGATGGTGAAGGGCCTTGAGGGGAAGCTGTATGAGGAGCAGCTGAGGGCACTTGGCCTGTTCAGTCTGGAGGAGACTGAGGGGAGACCTCATTGCAGTTACAACTTTCTTGCGAGGGGAAGAGGTGGGGTAGACACTGATCTCTTCTCTGTGGTGACCAGTGATAGGACGTGAAGGAATGGCCTGAAGTTGTGTCGGGAGGTTTAGGTTGGATATTAGAAAAAGGTTCTTCACTCAGAGGGTGGTTGGGCAATGAACAGGCTCCCCAGGGAAGTGGTCACAGCACCAAGGCTGACAGAGCTCAAGAAGTGTTTGGACAATACTGTGGGACACATGGTGTGACTCTTGGGGATGGTCCTGTGCAGGGCCAGGAGCTGGAACTCGATGTTCCTTGTGGGTTCCTTCCACCTGAGCATATTCTGTGATCCTGTGAAAACCAAGCCCCAAGCCCGCCAGAGCTCAAGGAGCGGTTGGACAACGCTCTCAGGCACTCAGGGTGGGACTGAGCTGTGCAGGGCCAGGATTTGGACTCGATGATCCTTGCGGGTCCCTCCGAACTCGGGACATTCTCCGACGCCCTCACAATTCCCGGGCACGGCGAACACGGAGCTCTCGCTGCGCCCCCCGCCGGGGACGGGCGGAACTGCCCCGCGCCTGCGCGCTCCCGCCCGCACAGCCCCGCCCGCCCCCGCCAAGATGGCCGCCTCTGCAGCGCGCTCCGCGGCCCGGCGGCTCATCCTGCCCTGGTCCACCCGCCTCTGGCGAGCGCCCGGCGCGGCGGAGCGGGTGAGGCGGCGGGACGGGGAGCGGAGGGAGGGGCGGGGAGCGCGGGCGCCGCGGCAGCTCCGTGAGCTGCTGCTCGGGCGAGCGCTGAGAGGGTTGGCGGCCCGGAGGCCGGGGCCGCGGTGCACGCTGGGGTTTGTAGTCGCGGCGGGGCCGCGGTGCGGGGCGGCAGTTGTGGTCTCGCCCGAGCGAGGCGGGGTCGCGGTCGCCCCTCACAGATCCCGACGGGCGCATCCCCAGGGTTTGGTGCTGGTGCCCGTGCCCGTGCCCGTGCCCGCCCCAGCGGGCTCAGGGGAACGTTTACACCCTCCTTCCTTCCCGTGATTCGGTGGAGGCCCCGGTCCGTCCCAGAGCTCTTCCCCTGTGTCATTTTCCCCTCCTGTCATTTCCCCCGTCCTCTCGGTTTGAAGCCTAAGCTTTTCCTTCTGGAAGCAGGAGAGAAAGATCTTTTCAGATAGAGGTTTTTCCTTCCCTGTAATGCAGACGGGCGGTGACAGTCCCTTGCATCAGCCCAGGCTGGGAGCTGAGTGCCCGGGGAGCAGCTCTGGAAGAGGCTGTTGGAGTGTCCAGCAGCAGGGCAGGGTGGCACAGACAGGAGCAGCCGGTAGATCAGAGGGAGCGATTAGTTTGCACTTTTCAGGAGTGTGTTTCACTGAACTGGAGTGTGTTCAGCAGAGATGAACTGGGCTGGAACAGGTGCCCTGTGAGGAGGGGCTGAGGGTCTAGGGCTTGTTCATCCTGCAGAAGGCATGGCTTTGGCTGGACCTGTGGGAGGAGCTGTGAGAAGGACCTCTGCTAAACCCATGAGAAGAAGGTTGTCAGGAAGACAAAACCAGGCTTGTCACAGTGGGGCATTGTGGCAGAATGAGAGGCAGTGGGCGTTAAGTTGAAACGAGAGGAAAAACTGGATATGTGAAAACTTTTTCTCCATGAAGCAGTCAAGCAGTGGAGCAGGCTGTCTACAGAGACAGAACTGCGCAGTTTCTCACCATCCTGGAAGGTTTTCAATACCCAGATGCAAAGAGCAAAATGGTCTTGACCCCATAGCTGATCGTGCTTGGAGCAGGACGTTGGACTGGGGACTTTCAGATGTCCCTTCAAACTTGAACTGTGCAATGATTCTGAAATATATGAGTTTCGAGAGATCTTGCTATTGGTATTCCAGGAAGAGAGTAGGTTGAGAGCTGGATTTTGTACTTCCATGTTTCGGGCAGTTACATGGGAAAGGAAATATTTTTTTATTTGATACGTTTAAAATAGTAGTCTTTGAAATAGCTGATTGCTTGAAGTTTGCATTTGGGATATGGATTTGCATTTCTTGATGTTGAAAAAGGGCAATAAACCTTTTTAACCTACATCATCCCTTCTTTTCTGCCCTGCTCTGATTTAATGTGCCTTAACTGCTGGGTGATTGTTTCAGAGGTAGCAGGTTCACAGTCTCTGACCAATGGGTGACTGATCTGCAGTCCTGGACATAGGCCCTTGGGCTGTATCTCACTTCACTTTAGAAAGCAGGTTCCCAGAGGAATTCCACATGGTAAAGGATATATCCAAGGTCCTGCAGGCTCTTGCTGGCAGAGCTGGGAAACAAGCGTGTCTGATGTTAGTAACATGCTTCTGTGTCAGATTGGAGGGCAGCAGATGCATCTCCTCAGTTTTAGTAATCTTTGGGGTTTTTTTTTTTTTTTTTGGATTCAGGTTACTGCATCCCTGATGTGAAGCAGTGGTGAATAGTAGTGCTGAATGTATTTCCTTTAAATGCATTCTTTAGAAAAGATCCACAAGCATAGTGTTTAAGTTCAGGAATACACTGTTCAGAAGAGCATCTTCTGATATAACTTAATGACTGATTTTTCTTACAGTGTGTGCATGTTGGAACGGGCAGGCTCAGAGCTTCCAAAGCAGCCACAGAAGTAATCTTAAATGTTCCTGAGACCAGGGTGAGTCCGTTGGAAAATGGCTTGCAAGTAGCTTCTGAAGACTCTGGACTGTCAACATGCACAGTAAGTAACTTTTAAAGGGAAGGTTTTATTGTACTCTTCATGTGTGTTCATTTCCTTGTGGAACTAAATTGCATTTACATTCATCCTATCAACCTAAGATAGGAAAGAGGTCTTAAGGTTTTTGTACATTTGTGATTAGATTTTTTTTTGTGTAAGATGGAAATTATCCTTTTCTTGAAAACTTGCTCTGTTTAAGGAAAAAGCCATTTAAAAGTAAATCTTGAAAATCTAGGTGTGGATCACAGAGCAAAACAGAAAAGCTTTTATCTGGTAAAACGACTTTTTTTTTCTCTGTTGAGGTTGGACTTTGGATTGATGCTGGAAGCAGGTATGAAAATGAGAAGAACAATGGGACTGCTCACTTCCTTGAGCATATGGCTTTCAAGGTAAATATGAATATTTATGTAGAAGTTTACAATGGATTTCTAAGTTATTTATCTTTAAAGATCAGTGATAAGAACTTTGCCAGAATTGTGTAAATAAATTTTCCAGATTGAAATGAGAAAAAAAATAGGGACAACTAAGACCTTGGTTTCCTTTAGAAAATGAAGTCCTGTTTCTGTGTAGCTGATACACAGCTACAGATTGCACAGTTCTAGTTTTAACTCACTTTTACCCTCTTGAAATAAATAGTCTTAGAAGACACCCAGTCACCCATTTGTCGGCTTTTTATTTTCACTTGGGAGCATAGTAGGATTTATATCTGATTTTCAAGTTTGGAGATGTTAGTATGCCAGTTTTATTTCCAGAAGACTTTTTCTTTTTCATGATCTTGACCTTGACATGAAGCAGTAATGATGGGTAGGTGAATTGAAGGGTCTAATGTGATTTTCTTATTGTTCTATTTCAGGGAACAAAAAAGAGGTCTCAGTTAGACCTTGAGCTAGAGATTGAGAACATGGGAGCTCATCTGAATGCGTATACGTCCAGGGAACAAACTGTGTATTATGCCAAGGCTTTTTCAAAAGACTTACCAAGAGGTAATTGCTCTCATTCATTGGAAAATCAGCAAAGAACAAAGTGTTTGTCCAGCTTCCAAGGAGATGACACAGGATGTTACTTTTGCAATGTTACAGTCCCTTCCTTCCTGGGTGAAAAGTCCTTTCTTGAACTTCACAGGAATGTGAGAATGCAGATTTGAAAAGGAGCCAGCAGTGAAGCTGATATTTGAAAATATTTTTCTCCTCAGAGTCCCAAAATAAGATACCTTTTGGACTTCTCCCATCCTGCAAGTCTTTCATCCCCTTGCAAGTCTTGTTAGCGCTTAGTCTTTGGGGTGGGCTTCACTTTTGGAACTGGATTTTTCTGGCAGTCTGAAAATACTCTTTGCATTTCCATCTCCATCTCTATTTTCACTTAGCTGTGGAAATCCTTGCTGACATAATTCAGAACAGCACCCTGGGAGAAGCAGAGATTGAGCGTGAGCGGGGAGTTATCCTTCGGGAGATGCAAGAGGTTGAAACCAATTTGCAGGAAGTTGTCTTTGATTACCTTCATGCCACAGCCTATCAGAAAACAGCCCTAGGACGGACAATTTTAGGACCCACTGAAAACATCAAGTATGTCCAAATTTGTGTCTGTCTTTAATTGTGTGATAACTTTTATATATTGAAAAGACTAATCTGAAAACATAGGGAACAGCATCGGTTTTCATTTTTACAGCTGAGATTGTTCTCTGCACTGGATATAACAGTAAGAAGAATCCCCCTATTGCTTTAGTTCCCCTGTATGCAGGCATCAAAGGGTATGTGAACTACAGGTGTCCTCTGCATGTCATTGTTTTTTGCCATATTTTTCTCCCATTTGTTAAAAGTGCGTTTGACACAAAATTGGAAATGCTTCTTTTTCCAGTTGGTCACATGTTAGGCAGTACTGTCAGCACAACTGTGTTTGCACTGCTGTTTCAGCGTTTGTTTAGACCAGTGCAGACCAGGAGACTGCCAAATGTGCTGCTTTCAAAGGAACAGGAGATCATTAGTGCACCTGGTCTCCACCTGACTGAGCTGTAATTCTCAGTCTTCTCAGGAAGCTAGAAGAGCTTTAAAAGGCAAAATGTATCGAGTTCCTATTTCCTTTTTAGGAAGTCGCCCTTATTTTAGCTTTCTGCCTCTCTGTTCTGTGTACTGGCGGAACATTTAGTTATTGTGGTATTTTGTTGGTTTATACATTTACCTCTTTTTGCTTTAGTTGGTTTTACTGACACAGTAATGATGTCTCCATTCCTGTTTCTAGATCCATAAATCGTAATGACTTGGTGGAGTACATAACAACACATTACAAAGGACCCAGAATGGTCCTGGCTGCTGCTGGAGGTTAGTGTGGGGTATTCACCCTGGATCATGTGAAACTGTGCTTGAGACCATGGCCTAAGTCTCTGGGAACAACATGATGAATTACCCATTGTTCAGTAGGTCCTGGAAGTTCATTGTTAGCCCTGTGTGTTTTGTGCCTTCATACCCTTTGAGCTTTTGTTCCCTTTTCCTCTCAGTAATATTCCAGAAACCTTAAACTGGTGACAAGAAGTGAATTGGAGGCCAAAGTCATTCTTCCCTGTGGGCAGGAAAGGAGGGTCCTAAAAGGGGTTCAGTGTGAAAAGGGGAGTAGCAAGGAATGCAGAGACAAAGTAGTAACATTAAGGCTTGAAACTGAGACCAAACAGCTTGATTTGTTGTAGTTTTAATGGAAGGCTGTTAGAGAGAACTCAGGAGGGGGAATCATGATCTTGCTCTGTGTAACAGGGAGGTGGGAGGAATCCAAAAGTGAGGTTTTGAAGTGGGGGCACAATGAGTTACTGCTTGGTTGAGTCTTTAGACTGTGCAGCAATTTAAGTGAACTGTTTACAGAATAACATCATGAAGCATCTGAAATACCTTTGTTCAGGGGTCTGTCATGATGAACTGCTTGACCTAGCGAAGTGCCATTTTGGTAATTTGCCATCTGCTCCAGAAGGAGGACTGCCACCCCTGCCACCTTGTAGCTTCACAGGTAGTGAGGTAAGCTGTTGGGTGGCTCTGTGAGCTGGCCCTTACATCCCCTGACAGCTGCTCTCTGCTGAAGAGAGAGGGCTACTCTGACACAGACTTGGCACATGAAAGGGTTTCTTGCCCCCAATGAGGGTGATGGAGTAGCTGCTTTCCAAAGCAGTACTTTGGGTCCTTTCTTGGACAAGCCTCACTGCCATCACTTTTTATGCTTCATCACTTCCTGGAGGATTACGTCCCTTATACCTGCTGCTGCTTTCCTTTTATCCCCTTGACTATGGTGTTGGAACATTTCCACTTGTTGAGAACCACTCATTTATGTCAGAGAACCAAGGCATCCTTGTTCTAGTCTCATCCCTATTCAGATTTTGTAAAGTCATCAGATTTCCTCACTGCTGGTAGTCGTAAAATGACTTGTAATGCTCTCTCTGTGCATGTTGGCAAAGTCCTCTGAAATAGCCTCAGGGAAGACTAGTTAAGGCTGATGTTAAATTAAGCTTCATGTGCTTTGACTCTGGGTGCATGCTTTATAATCCAGTCTAATGGAAAAGTCTGCCTTCTGATATTCAACTTCCCATGTACCTGACTGTGTACAGGTTGGACTACAGCTGCTCTCTTCTGTTCCACAGATTCGAATCCGGGATGACAAGATGCCCCTGGCACACCTGGCCATAGCTGTGGAAGCAGCTGGCTGGTCAGACCCGGATACGATCCCACTCATGGTAGCCAATACTCTGATAGGTAACTGGGATCGTTCCTTCGGAGGAGGCGTGGTGAGTGAACCTGCAAAACCTTCCTGCTCTGAATGACCTTGGTGGGCTGGTGAGATCTCCCTGACTTGGGTACTGCCAGTGCAGATGAGAGGGTTCAGTTGTGCATCTGAAGAATTTGTTACCCCAGGATACTCTTAGGAAGTGGTTCTAAACCACCAAAGTAGAGGTGACTTGAGGTCTTGCCAGTCTTCATCGAAAGCAGGATGTTCTTTTATACCTGTATGTCATCAGAACCCATGGGTATCAGTAACTGTCCCTTTCTTGAACCTAAGCAGCTTTATGATTTTGGCTTAAATCTGGGCTGTGATAGTACTGCATGTTCTGTCACCATTAAATGAAAACAGAATCAATCAGGGAGATGAATAGGAAGCTTCCAAAATGCTTCATAAAATAGTATCTTTTTCTTTTGCCTCAGAATTTATCCAGTAAACTTGCTCAGATTGCCTGCCATGGTAACCTGTGTCACAGTTTCCAGTCCTTCAACACCTGCTATACTGACACAGGCCTGTGGGGACTCTATATGGTCTGTGAGCCATCTACTATTCAGGACATGGTGCACTTTGTTCAGAGAGAATGGTAAGCAAACAACTGTTTCTCTAAAAAGATGGTTTCAGTGATGGAATGCAAATTAAAAGGATATAAATAATTTAAAGAGAGTATTTTTGTTTCTCTGCTTAGGCTCATCTGGAAAAACACAAATGCATCAAATTCTAAATTTTGGCACCCAGTGCAGAGTCCCAGCAGCCAGTTTGTGCCACCCTTACTTGGAGTGAATAGCTTAAGATTTAGGTTTTGTTTTCTTTCTCTGCCCTGGAAGAATGACCAGGCACTGTAGTTGACATAACAGCATTCCTTGTACAAGTACATATGGTGGGAAATTTTGAGCTGTTACATACGGAATTTTGAAACCTGGGATTCTAGATAATATTCATGCATCTAAGGCTTAAATCTATTGAAGTATGTCCCTAGGTGCAACTTGTAAAGCTTGAACTGCAGATGTGATTAGAAACAGACATATGTTATATAAGAGCACTGATTTGGAGTGGATGAAGTTAAAACAGAAGTTGAAAGAAATCTTGAAAATACGATGTTTCTTTAATCACATAAATCACTACCATTATTCTGTGAGATCTCTCTTAATAACTCATGGAGGAAAAAGGCATGACTTTAGCTGTCCCTTTACTGCAGCTTAGCACCAGAAAAGATACCAATAGTTCCTGGGACAAGAATCAAGTGCTGAGATATTTGATGCACCCCCCTGTCCTCATGAAATGTTCCTTATACAGAGTGGAAAACAGAAGAGCCGGGAAGTGATGGATTGCCTTCTAGCTAATTACCTCTGATTGCTTGGCTCTTGTTTTCTTAGCAACACCCATTCTCAACATAACAAGTACACTTGGCTCAAAATATACATTTAATAAAACAAAACACAGCTCTTCTAAGGGGAAAAACTCACTTTGGGGTATATTGGCATGCTTCCCAAAACCCAGCTCTTATGCTGCCTCTTTGCATCCTGTGCCTTGTTTCCATGCCAAATTCTTCTACCAGCTCTGTCTATAGAAGAGAAGCGCCTGGTAGGTGCAGGAGTGTCTGTGCACCTCTTCATTGCAGGCAATGTTGTGTGCTACAGGTTACTACTACTTAATGCCTTTGGATTTCAACTGTTTTTCAGGATGAGACTTTGCACAAGTGTTACAGAAAACGAAGTAGCTCGAGCGAAAAATCTTCTAAAGACAAATATGCTGCTACAACTTGATGGTGAGACTTATGAGAACTTTCTGTTCTTTGTGGAGTTGCAGGCTGGTAACTGAAGCATACTTTCCCCTATTGTAGGGTCTACGCCAATCTGTGAAGACATTGGAAGACAAATGCTGTGTTATAAGCGCCGAATCCCAATTCCCGAACTTGAGGCAAGAATTGATGTAAGTGGCAGTCATGTTGAAACTTTTAAATTAGGCCATTGACAAAATTATTTGCTACAGAAAGTAACAATACAGAAGTTGACTGTTCCTGGGTGAGAAAATGTTTGTTTCCAGCTGAGAAAACTTTGAAGTGTTTTGTTGCCTGTTCCCCTGGATTATACAAAATTAAGGTCACAGTTTTAGATGGGATGGGATGGTAACAAAGACATCTCTTTTACCCCTTTTAGGCTATTGATGCCCAGACTATTAGAGATATCTGCACAAAATACATCTATGATAAGCATCCTGCAGTTGCTGCTGTTGGTATGTGATACAAGTTTCCCTGCCTTCCCATAACCCCTCCATACCAATCACTATCAGCTGAACATGTGTCATGGCCAACTTTCTTTAACTTCCAGGTCCAATTGAACAACTTCCAGAGTATAGCAAAATCTGCAGTGGCATGTATTGGCGCCGTGAGTAGTGAATAACGAGAACTTTCAGTATATTTGAGCTTTTTAAAAAAAAAAAAAAAACAAACCAGAAAACCAATAAAAAACCCCACAACAACAAAAAAAAAAAACAACAAAAAAAACCAAACCCACCAAGCAACTACACCTGTTTAAAGCTTTTGAGTTGTATTTGAGAAGATTAAATCTCAAGAACCAGCCACTCCTGTGTGTCTTTGTACTGAAGAAAGGAATGGAAACACGTACAGTATTTGCATTTTTATTACAAAACAAAGATTGTCAGTAAGAGTCATTTCTTGACTTTAGTAGCATTCATCACTTGTTCTTGAGCAGCTTTCTTTGCCTTGACCATTTCAACGAGTTCCTGGAGAGTTGTGGGAAAAAAAACCACACCAAACAATTTAATTAAACATTGAATGTGTTAACAGTGCTACAGTTTTGAACCTACATCTATTCACTGTGAAACACTCTTGCTCTCAACATAGTGAGAAATCTACATAGCTTAATGAAGCAATTTCTCTTAGGAACAAATCAATTGATGGAAGGTCAATGCTCATCTACCTCCCCTGCAGCAGAATAGGGATAGGACTTTACAGGAGCTTGGTGTCAGACTGTAAGACAGATTTCCTGAGACAGACTTTCCTTTCCAGATCCCAGAGCCACTACTTTCACCAAGGAATATTTAGTCCTTAAAGCTCTCTAGGGGTTGAGTTACCAAAAATAAAAAAAAGTTTCTCCATAAGGTTCCATCAGTTTGCTGCTGTCAGATGCCATCTCTGGTAGGCAGTGCAACAGTAAAAGCAAAGGATTCTATCGAGACCTGGGCTGATGGCAGTCCCAGGAGAGGTGAGGTCCCTTACCTTGTATCGCTTCATGCAGTCTTTTTTTGTCCGGCCTGGAACAGCTGCTGCTATTTTCTCCCATCTTTCAGGAGTATTTACTGGATAAGTCTTCAATGCTTGTTCTAAAAGTTTTTGTTCTTCTGTAGTCCAAGGGGATGAATCTAAAGGTGATCCTGTTTTTAAATGCAAAAAGGATAGTAGGAAAAATATATTTAATAGAAGAGTCTATAAAGCCTAAGAAAATATCGTAAAATCTATTTAGTTGGTTTAAAATCCATGCAGTTTTGAAAAGCCCTGAAGAACAACCAAGCCTGAAGCTGATTGGACAAGTGGCCCTCAGGATCTCTAGAACAGCACAGGGAAGTTAGAAGGGAGTGTCTTTTGTTGTCAGCCAGGTGTTAGATTGCTGTAGCTGCCCTCCTAAGCCACAGCACTAGGGCAGCAATGTAGCTTTTCCTTTTGCATTTCAGTAAGGAACACTCAGTAAGGAAACAGCTTTCTGCAAGTGTCTGGAAAACCTGACGAGACGTGTGGGGTTTCACAGGAGACCAAAAGTTAGCTGTATGATGATCCTATATCTCAAGTGAATCCCCTCAGGCTTGCTGTTCCCTGAAAGTGTAGCACCCTCTGAGGAACAGGCGATCTCAGCACCAGACTTAACCTGTTGCCTCACCAGGAAACATTTCACTGTCACTGTGTAGCTGGATCACTTACTGTGTTTGTAAGCAAGTCTTGAGTCTGGGTTACTTTCTTTCTAAGAGGCACAGGGGGGACAAGTCTACAAGAAGGGCTCCCTTTTCAGCTTTACCTTCAAATCGCTCCGAGGGGGCAGCACTGTCCATCTGAGGCACCACACCGTGTTCTTTTTTAAATTTGTCAAATGCTTTCTTGTTTATGTCATCTTTTTGATGAGGGTCTATGAGTAACAGACATGGAAGAGAAAAATTATTGCAACAGTTAAAGCCACGTGTAGTAGTAAAAACATTGTGTAGCACATTATTAGTTTACAATAACCACATAATTAAAACTATTCCTACTTCCTTTAAAATGATGATAAAGAGGTTGATAGATTAAAACAAATAAATCTTTCAGGGTCCAATAAATATGGAGCCAAAGTGTCAGGCTCTCCAACCCTATCCTGCTTTATACTGCTCACAGGAATACTTGTTCCATATAATCTTAAGCCTGAATCTGCAACTTCAGAGAAATTCAGAAGGATTATTCTCTCAAGTCAGGGCTGTGGCACAAAACTCACATATTACCCAGGGTATGAGCATGTCAGAGGGGCAGGGACACTGGGGAAGTTCAGGTAGATGGTTTGGAATGGAGAAGCCTCATGAAAACTTTGTGCAATATTTTTTTGTTGTTGTTGTTGTTCTGTAGTGAAATATATAATTTCCTTAAGACCTTATTCTAGAGCTCTCTAAGCTTCATGTATCATTTTATTATTATTCATTTTCAAAGAGGAGATGAGCCACGTTAATTTAGGTGTCTTACTCTGGTGTTTTTAAAGTATCTCTAGAGCTTCATCAATTCCATTTATTTTAGATGCCTTCCTTCGTAGGGAGCTTTTCCAGAGGCCCACTTGTCTCTAGCTGAGCCCAGGCAATGCATGTGGCCCACAGACATCTGAGCATCCAGCTGCAGTGAGACTGTTCTCAGAGTCACTCAGGAGGTGGTAGCTTACACAAAACCCATTAGGTTGAAAACACTGAATCACATAAATGCTCCTCTAAATCTCCCATCTGAACTACATTTCTTTGGGGATATACAGATTTTCTCAGAAACACAAAGCCACTAAAAAAAAAATGCAGCTGTGCAGAAGCATACAGAACATCATATGGCAAAATAAGGTAATATATACCAAGCTTTTGGAGGCTCTTGGCTTTATTGATGACATCTTTTGCTGTTCGTTTTATTCCAGTAGTAGAGTGCAAGTTCATGTAATTGGCAATAACTTCCCACCTAAAGCAAGAATAGAAAGGGTAAACCAGCATATTTATCTTCATACAAGTGATGGTCAAGCTCCTGTACACATTTTATACCAAATCCTAAGTGTGATCATACTTAAATGCATATAAAATGTCAGGGTAACTATTCTGGAAAGGTTTCAGTTACTAACTGAAGAATTCAGTCAGCGGGAGTGAACTTTAGCTGCCGATACAGAAAAGTGGGGTAGAATGTAGGTGAGTGCAAACCTCTAATCCTCAAAATTCTGCTCAGCTGCTGCTTTCCTGAACTCCCCAAACACCTCTGACATTAAATACTGCAAGGTGCACTCAAGGGCTGAGAAGTTACCAACCCTGTGTCCACTGCTCCCCAGAAGGCCTAAACATCAGGTAAAGGGGCTTAAGCAGGAGAGAGCTAGAACAGCCCCATAGCCCCAGAACTATTCCTAGTGCATTCTTAGAAAATGGAAAGCAATATTTGCACCTGAACAGACAGGAGGATGGTGTCTAGGCCTGTGTTCTCAGTGAGCACTGACTGCTGAGCTGCACAAACAGACACTGGTATTGTCTCCAGAGAGTATGGCAGATTTTTTTTTTTTTAAGTAAGCCTCAAAGTCTTGTAATTGAGGCCTCAAATCTGTGAATCCCAAGTGGAAGAAGACATTTCATTCCTGGGCAAGAGCAGAATTTAAAGCATACTCCTGTTCTTGATGCTTATCAGTAAGCTGATTGCCAGTGCTGCTTTCTGTAAATCCCAACCTTTCCCTTTCCCCCAGCTTTGTTTTCCTCCTACCATGTAGAGGAGAAAGCAGCCTCAGTCATTGTGGAGCTACTGGAAGTACCTTACACACTTGTATTCCTACCCAGCTGCATCCCAGTCACTGCTCCAGTTTTGTTCTGTGCTTTAACGACTGACCCCGACCCTGGAGTAAGCCCTGTGCAAACACGCACCTCAGCACCATCTCGGTAATGGACTGAGGCCCCAGTCTGGGGGAAACAAGGTACAGGACCAGAGCTAACTCCAGTGACACGTGAAGTGTGGTACTAAGGGAAAACAAACCACTGGCTGCTCAGGAGTCAAGGAAAAGGAGGAAATTTAGGGAGTCCTCATACTGACACCGTACTTAGGTCGGTCTGAAAGTTATATTATGCTTGTTATTTAATTAAAAATTGTTAGTAGAGATTTTAGCACCGATCCCGAGGAGTACCTTGAGTTAGTCCCTGCTGGAAAGAGGTTCACAGCTTTAATTAACAACTGTAAGTCATCTTCTGGCCAATTTTTGCTTCCCCCTCCACCACCAGTGGTTGACTTTTCTGAACTCTTTGTTGCTTGGCGCATACGAGCTTCTGCCTCTTCTTTCTCTCGCCTTATTTGTTCATTTATTTCTTCTATCTAGGGATTGTAAATAAGCATTATTTATTCATTTACTGAATTTTTACATTTCACAGTGACACAAACCCCTCTCTCTAAAATCGCTTTGAGCCTTGAATTTTGCTTAGTTTCTGTTTTGTACATGATACAAAAGGAAATGGAGGTGCTTATCTGCTCCAGTATTATTTCCCTCCATCCCATGCATAAATTTGGCCACCCCAGATTAGGAGTTCAGAAATCCATCACAAGTTCCCTAAGAAATTACATGAAAACTCCCAGAATTAAAGCAAAACTTCAGACCCTAGTGTGAATGTCCAGGCTAACACCTGACTTAGTGGGACAGATCCACAAAAGTAATAAAAGCCTAAAGCGACCGGTGAGGGCAGTGAAACATCCATGTTGAACACACTGATTCCCTGAGCCTGGTTATGTCAGAAATTCTCAGAACAGTTGTAGTTAAGTTAGTAACTAAAATCTGGGTTGTTGCAGTTAATGCTTAGAGTTTACTCAGAGTTAGATGGCCAAGTGTAGTTTGTTAGCAAGCAGTTCAGCAGAATTTAAGTTACTCATTGCACATTTTTGTGACCTGTAATCACATCTCGAGAAGGTGGTGTGACACATCTTTAATTACCTGCTTCCCAGTTCAGTCTTGGCAATATTAAAGGAGCTGTGCACTGATCCCTGTTGGCAGATTGCCCAAAATAGGTTTCTCACTCTCTGTCTCAAATAAAATCTTTCTGGCAAAAGGAAAGTTATCTGGCAGATAATTTTTATTAATGCAGAAATGGAATAGTTTTAACAGACAGAAAGGGGACTGTCCTGTGTTTGGAACACTCTCCTGGAGAATGGAAGATTGAATTCAGTCCCCTAAAGAACAAGAGGGATTTAAGTTGACTGGTGAGTAAACCTGACCCTGGGATGGAGGCAGATCCCCACCAGGAAAGAAAGTTCAGAGCAGTGAAACCACAGTGGGTGAGAGAAAGCAACTTTTTCTGCAGGATGTAGGTTCAGCCTTATTAGTCCAAATGGCTTTTCCCTGCTGGCAAGTTTAGGCAGATCCTTGCTGAGTTTTGTAAACCTCAATTGCAAGTGTCTTGCTTTTTCCATTGTTTGGTATGCAACCCACTGGCCCTTCCAGTGCCTACAGCCTGCAGCACTGAAGTCCTTTTGTGGATCTAGCCCCAGGTCAGGGATAGTAGGCTAGGATTTTTCTTGCATAACAGAATAGGTTAAGACTGCCCTCCTTCCCCTGAGGGAACTGCTACCCGTTGTTGGGCAAAATGGAATTCCTCTACTGTTTCTGAATAAAAGTGGATTAATTTCACCAGCCATGAACTGCACTGTGTAAAATGGAGCAGAGATCACACTGCCTGGGGACTCTGAAACTCGAGTCTGTGTTTAACAAGCAGGATTCCACAGCAGCTATGTTGTATCTTACTTCGATTCGGTCATGTTGATTCCACAAATCATTGTTATTTTGATTTGACACTCAGCATAATTACCTGTTTTACTACAGCCGCCTTTCCTCCTTCCCTTGTTGTGGATGTAAGTGCTTCATTCAAGCATTGCAGACTAAAAATAAATTATTAAGTTACAACGGAGAGCTAGTGGAAAGATGGGTATCAAAAGGAGCAGAAAGCAGCAGCAGGAGGACTTACCTTGCCAACTCAAGGCGATCACAAAGCTTTTCCACCTCCTCCATCATTTTAACACAATCTGCCTCATTATCAGAAAAGTAATTCCAGTTCTGGAAGCAGAAATACATGTTCTACAGAGTTCTTGAACTATTGTCCTGTTCCTTCAGCCAAAGGCTTAACACACAGCATCCTTCAGCCACTGCTGTGTCTGGACCCATTTGGTCTCAAAGCTGTTTAAGTATGTGTTTGAGCACTTTGGTTTTTAGTAAGCCCACTTTCCATACCCATCTCCAGCCATAAGGACAAGCAAACACGTGATACAGTCTAATCTAAACACACACAGTAATTTCACTGATGTAACCTGTATTTCACTGTAATTGTAGTTAAATACCTTGCACGTTGTTCTCAGTTTTTGCCTTTCTTTCTTGATTGCTTTCTTCTGTATCTCTTTTTCCTTTTTTGCTAGTAATGCTTGCTGCCTAACTTCTTCTTCCTCCTTTTCTTTTGCTAACCGTGCTGCTTCTAATTCTGCTTGTCTTTGCTGCAACCAAAAGGGAAAAAACCCAAACAAGTAAAAAAACCCTCAACAAATCACACTGTTACAAGGCCATTCAGTCATCCAATATTAAAATGTGTTGGTTTTGGTTTGGATACAGTTCTGTTTGTTTTGGTGGAGTTTGTTTTAAAATGCATCAATACTTTAATGTTTGGTTTTCCAAGGATTCTGAAGGAAGATGATGACACATACAGCAGTTGGAACTGAGTAATTAATTAATTGAGGCATTAATTGAGTACCCTAATTATGCACTGTGAGGACCCCCAGGTTACAAATCCTCACTTCCTATACAATGAAGATATAAAACTGTGTGAATTTTCTTATGGCTGCCTCAGGAATATAAGCTTGGAAGAATGCAGTGCTCCAGCACTTCTCTGAATCATTATTAACATAGTATTTTGCAGTGTCCCAGCACTGTCTTTTAGGTTACTTTTTAACATCTTACAGTTCCCTTTCACTCCTATACTTTCAAAGCCATCTTTTCCAAACTGTTAATATTAATCAGCTATGTTGCATTACCTCAAAGTGTTTCATACCAACCTACCACTCCCATTCCACAGATGCAAGGCAAACAGCCATGGCCATTTTATGCAAATGCAAAGTAGGGCACAGACCTTAACACCTGCCTCGAAAGCAGAGGAAGTGCATGCAACAGGAGAATTCAATTTTAGAAGGTTTTTTGTTTCAGATCTGCATTCCTTGCTTCTGTCTCATTCTCAAAAGGCTGTCAGTCTTGCACTGCCTGCTGCACAGGCAAAGACAATGCATCTTTAAATCCCACTGTGTTTCTGACAGTAGCCTCTGACACAACTAGAAGCTGAAGCAGTGGATCAGGTTTGAATGAACCAGGGTTTTTCAATCCAAATAAAGTCGTTAACTTACTTTTTCTTTTGCCTCCTGTTCTTTTCGTTTTGCTTCTACCTTTGCTTTCTTCTCTGCTTCCTTCTTTGCCTTTTCTTCCTCCTTAAATTTCTTTATCCTGGGATCACAGCTGTATGCATTGTCTAATGGAAGAAAGGAAACATCATGTATAGAAGAAAAACAGGAGATTTCCACTATTAGCTAACAAATCTCTCTTTAAAAACCAGCAGTTTGTGTGCTCACCAACGAGAGTCCTAATTCTGTTCATTTCTTCTTTTTTCCTCAGTGCTCTGGCAGCTCTGTTCTGCTTCTCAATCCACCTCCTTTCATCTCGACTAGAAGGGAAAGCACAGTTCAGTGCTGATGCCCTTCAGTGTCACTTAGAAATTCATCAGCAAACTTTTTAGAGTTTCCCCCACACAGATGCTCTTCTGTGAATACTTCAAAAATAGACTTCAAAAAATGAGGTTCCAGGCCCCAAGCTCATGTAAAAAATGCTAAGTGTTTACATAGTTACATAAACCTGACAAACCAAGCTGCTTATCTGTCATTGCAGGGAATCAGATCATGGGCTTTATTTCCAAAATGCAATCCACTTGCTTACCTAACATTAAACCTCAGCAAAACAACAGAAATGCTGGTATAATGTTTAATTAAAGGACAGCAATATAAGCAATGCTGTTTATCTCATTTTAGAGAATACAGGCCATGTCAAGTAAACCCATCTGCACAGAAACAACACTTTCCACAAAGCTCCGTGACACTCTGCTAAAGTCATGGCAGATTCACTCCAGCAGAATACAGCTCAGGTAAAACAGAGGTAAACTGGTTGACTAGATAATCTGAAAATATTTGTCAGTGCTGTCAAGAAAGAGGCAGGTTTTTAGTGGGGGTCTGCAGTCTCATCCACACAAGCATATGGACAAAAATATACGGGGAGGGCAGCTGGACCCAGATGGTCTTTGAAGTCCCTTCCAACCCAAACCATTCTGTGATTCCATACCTCAGAACAAAGAAAACAATCTCCATAACAGAGTAGGAGACTAATATGAGTAGACTGAAGCTTTAAAACATGAACAACATCGCCTTTGGCAAGAAGGGTAACAAGAATCATGGCCATCTGAACAGCTGCTGAAATGAAGTTCTCTCTCAAGTAGAGCAGACTAAGGTACCACTTGTCTTTACAAAAGGACACTAATGACAGGAAGGACCAGAAAAAAAAGGAGCTATGCAAATAATTCAAGACTCTTCCAATGAGAAGGCCAGAGATTCATCTGTGTGATTTATCACAAGTGAGGTGGAACTGATTACAGTGCCTTCACAGAATCTTCACAGGAGAGAGAACAGTGGGTCCAGTGAGGCTCAAAAAATTTAACAGCAGGAAGAGGCACTAGAGAAGAGAAATTAATGCCTCCCTACAGCTAAATATGTCAGCTTCTAGCACAAAGCAAGCCAGCCACTGAATCTAAATACAAAACTGACTTATATCCAAACTTGGAAGAAGAGGTTCATACAATGCAAGTTAAGGTTATACAAGGATGACTAAATGAAAGGTTGCATCCTGTGAAATGTGTTAGGCTAAATGATTTGGTGCTCCAACTTGAGCACTCTGTGTTTAGAACTGTAGGAAGGATAAAAATAGAATGTATTTTCTGAGTCCGAGTAATTCCGCAACTATCATTACATCACCAAATCCGTGCTTTTTATTAACATCAAGCCATCAAAAATTCATCTCTCCAAATTCTATAAAGTATCATTTTCTCAGTACAAGTTGAAGAGTAAGAGAGAAATGATACTTGCTTACTCATCCACTCTGCTCTGGCTCCAGGTTCAACCTGTGCTTGGGACTGGCTGGAACTGCAAGTCTGAACTTAACAGAACACACATTTCAAAGCACCTCAGACACCTCTGTGAGGCAACCAAGAACTACTTCAGTTACACAGATAAGACAAAAAAGCCCACAGCCAGTCCACTTCAAGTCCATGACTGGCTCCTAAGCTGGGAGAGTGGAATGCAGACTTAGCTTGGCTACCTTGCTTCCTGTGACTTACAGTCTAAGAGACAACTGGAAAATCTTGCTGTATCATCTCTTAGTCTCCTGTCAAATTTCTTTTTACTTACATACCATTCTGCTTTCTCTTTTTCCTCTTCATCTAAATAGGAAAACTCTCTCCAGGAATCAAAATTATACCTAAAGTAAATTTAAGGGAAAAAAATGAATGAAAAACTAGCAAATCTATTAGAAATCATCTACCTTTTTTCCTATTACGATCTGGTAGGCAACTATATTACTATTTATAATTTATAATACATAATTTACAATGATACTGCACCTACAGTGATTCCACTGTGTTTACTCAAAGCACAAGATGTTCCTGAAAGTATTGATTTACACCTATCTGTGATGTGGGACAGAGTCAGGATGGGCTCAGTCTTGCCAGCTCTAAATGTCTACAGTGCAGCTGTCTGAGCTCCCATCACAGGCAGTGGAGATGCAGTGCAGACTGTGGAGTTCAGAGAGAAATTAATGTAATCTTCATGCAAGCACCCCTACTTAGCAGGGAAGTCAGACCACAAACACTGACTTCACTGGACTAGACACATCTCCCTTTACTAAGGGAGTTTAAACACCTAAGACATCTCCACTAAAAACACAAGTTAGGTGAGATGAATTTCTAGTCTGTGGGTCAGCTCAGTTCACAGCCATTGTGCTCAGAAGCTCCTGCTGCAACCAAGAATTTAGTCTGGATGGATTAGCCAGGAGAAAGCCAGCTCATTCTGTGGGAGGCACAAACAGCTGTGGGGTAATTCCATGATATTACTGGGTCAGAACAGCCCACAGCCAACAACCCCCACACCAAAGGGTCTGCAAGCCCTTCATATCACACATCTTGAACTCTGTGAATAGAAACAGAGACATCAGCTAACTTACCAAAAGGAATAGAAGGCATCTACCTCTTCAAATGAAGAGTTCATGTCCCCAAGTTTAGGTACATTTTTCTTATTTGACCACCTGAAAATAAATGGATATATTCAAGAAATAATACGTGTAACCTTACTTCTCAACATGGCATTTGTTAAATTCAGAATCAAAATACCAAATTGGAGGTTCCCTCCCACCAACACAGAGGGGCACCAGGAAAGAGGAAGAGAACAGGACAGTTCCTCCTAAGCATCCTCCAGACTGGGCATTTTTTGTGGAGTTCCCCCAGAAAAGCAACCTCCTCCTGCCTTGTGCCTACAAGGATGGAGCACAGACTATCTTTGTAGATATTGAATTCTCCCCACACATTCTTCTGGGAGAGCAGCTGACAGAAAGTGGACAAAAGATGTTCTGTGAGTAACTCAGCTCTGTGGCAGGCTACAGGAACCCCCACACATTCTAATGGAGCACAAGGGAATAATGCACACTCTGCCTCCACTGCATTTTTCCTAGGGAAATCTTCCATAGGCTCTAGAATTTGTTGTTCCACGACAAAGCAGACAAAGCAGCCATTTCCAAGCAGAGAAGGGAAAAGCCCATGTGACAACCAGGTCTGAATCTCTGGAATACTTGATCAAAGATTTGATAAGACTACTTTAAATAACTATTGTTCAAAACATTGCAAAGGGCCTCACACAAGGGGGCACTTCTTTTTCATACAGGGAAAAGGTGAAACAGGATTCTGTTGTGACGCCCTTAATACAAAGTTAATTACCAAGCATGAAGCAAATGCAGAAAAAGAGAAGCACCAAATATTGATAGGTACATTTATCTTCTCTTTTAACCAGTTTAATTGTGAACATAACTACTGTCTGCTGTTAATATCTCACTCTCATAAGAAAAACATCAAAAAGTAATTTTTAGTCAGTAGCATACAAAGACTTCGCATTTTAGGTAATTTTAAGATGAAACAATGTGTTGTACAAAAAGGACAGCAGGGAGAGGAGAAAAGATTTTTTTTTTTTTTTAAATCTCATGGGACAAACTCAATGCCACCAATGTGACAGTTCAGATTATTTTAAAATGAAATAATAGAGAACTGCACTATTTTACTTGTATTACATTTCTAGCAAATTAATACGTCTCTTGTTACAAACACAAAGTCAGAAGAGTTTGCAAATGCTGATTCCCCAGCAAAAGAAGAGGCAGTCTGACATGGCTTACCTGGCATTTCTCTCAAAAACAGGTGAGAAAACTTCAAAGAAGTTTTCTTTTGCTTCACTTTTGGAAGGTACAGAGTTATCAAAAGTAGGATCTATGCTGTTAAATGCTCGTCGTTTCACGGGATCAGATAATATTTCATATGCTGAAAAAAAGTTACCAGACATAAGGTTCTAAATGTTGAAAAAGATGCTGTCAGATCTGCCTTTGATCTATTGTTCTGTACAGCTTGATACTTAATTATTTCAGTGTCATCAAATAGCACTGCTGTCTATTCCTGTTAAACTAAGTAGGAGGAAAATGTTTATGAAAAAAACACATTTAACTGCTGAGATGTAACAAAACATGTAATATTTAAAATACTTTTATAGCAGTAAATTTGGTTCAGGCACTGGGAGTTTGGGCCTGACATCCTCAGGCTTTTATCCAGCACCAGATCCTTGCAGACAAATTGACAAAATAGGTCTACTAACGCACAGAGTAAAAGCAGTTTTTGAGTTAATATGACATCAGAACTGGCAGGAAAATGAGCCATTCATTGGAATTTTTGCAGCTCATTATGAAGTTGCACCAAGACTTGGAAAGGATGTAAGTCACCACACAGCTACTGGATGAAACATGCACACGCTCCCGGTTTTCCTGTTCTTACAGGCCCAAAGTTGGGGAGCATCACGTACTAATCTTATATCTTGGAATCATACACACTACAGCTTCAGTAAACTGTTACTTTTTCACAAGGAAGGGTGGTGTTACTTGGTCTGTCAGTTCTACAATGACCACTATTTTTCAGTAAGAGTGAAAAGTCAAAGGAATCAAATTCATGTTGTGATCATTCATGGGCTTCTGTGCCTGCATCCCTGGACAGAGAACACTGCA